TCAACCCGAGGTTCACCTCCGTGCGGCAGTCAAGCCCAGCCTTGACTTCAGCCTTTCCAACACTTAGTTTTATTGTTAGGGACGTTTGCACTTAGAATGAAAATAGGCAGCGAAAACAGTAGATAAAGGCACACACGATATACAGGAATTTCTTCCCAACTTGTATTAATATGTGAATACAAGAACACAATAGCCAACCCTATGGCCAAGACAAAGAATTCCCTAATTCCCTGCCCCAAAATGGTTTTCCCACCCTTAGGAAATGACTTAGACGAATTTTGGCTACACAATGCCTTAGACTAAGTTCTCTGCCCCGTTTTGGACAGCCTAGGCAAGTATTTATAAGGCTACAATCAGTTGATAAGCCCCAACTGATGGGCAAACAAGTTAAGACAAAGTACAAAAACGTGGGCACACTTTTTAGGCCATGACCAGCATGTCTTGGAAGAGGTTGCAACTGCCAATTGCTAAAGCACATGTTTTCCAACTGCTGCTTGTGCACAACATGTGTCTGATTTTCGCCCAGCTGCTTTGTGCCAAGGCTGGCATTGCGCCCAACCTTGCCTTTGACACTGCTCCGCGCCAATGTCATTGCCACAGCTAGCCGCCCGCTGACTTAGCCGCACACATTCATTGTCACAGCTGCCCGCCCATGTCAAGTCGCCCCCGACTTGATCAAATATGTCCGTATCATTTGCCATTGCTTGTCCCGCCTTGCCTTGCTTTGACTTGCCATGTCTTTGCCCCTGCTTGACATAGCTTTGCCTTGCCATTGTTTTGCCAACCCGCACATCTAAGTAAGATGCGCCTTGCTTCCATTCAAGGTGCGTTTGTCGAACCCCGCATTGTCCGTCATGCCGAGCAGCCCATCATGATGTTGCCCAATTTTTCAGGTTGTGTGCCAAGGCCATCATGAAAATCCTTGTCACAACCCACACCTGCCGAGGACCTTTGTCAAGGGGCTAACAAACCACCCCCACCAGAAGAATTCGTCGTCCTCGACGAAGCAGCTTCCGCATTTTTCAGCACCACCATAGGCCCTAAATATGCTGTTGCTTGCCCATGTTCTTCCTCGTTTGTCTCGTCTTCACTCTTTTCTTCAGCAAACAACGCTGAAAGCCGTTCAATTCTTGGACAATCCCTCGCCATGTGTGGCCCTTTGCAAATAAAACAACCATCAAACTTGCTGTTTTGTCCCTTGTTTGTCGAAGGTCCAGCACATTGCTTTCCCTTCTCATTGCTATTGCCCTCAACAGCATTACCCTTGTCATTTCCATTTTTCCTCCACTCTTTTACCTTGTCCTTGTTCCCGTTTTTGGACTTTGAAGTAGTAGAGAAATCAGAACCATCTTGTCCCAACCGGAAATCACCCAACGCATCCGCAGCAGCAATGGCACTAGGAAAGTCTTTCACATTTTGCCTTCGGAGTTCCATTTGTGACCACGACTGCAACCCGTAAAGGAAATTATGCAGCTTGTCTTCCTCAGACATGTTGCTAATATCCAACGTCAAAGTACTAAAATCCTTGACGTAATCCCTGACCGTTCCAGTTTGTTTCAACTTCTTCAAACGATCTCTAGCAATCCAGCCCGCATTGCTAGGAAAGAATTGATCCTTCAACTCTTTCTTCAGCCCTTCCCAAGAGTCAATCTTCGGCCTACCAGCACTTACATCATCTGCCACGCGCGTACGCCACCACAGCTTTGCATCGTCCACCAAGTATATAGTCGTAATGAGGACTTTGTCTTCATCTTGCACTTTGGCAGCATGGAAGTATTGTTCCATATCCCACAGGAAGTTTTCGAGTTTCTTGGCACTCCTTGCGCCATTAAACTCTTTAGCCTCCGGAATTCTGACCTTGGTACGATCTGCTCCATGCTGTGCTTCATCATTGCCAACAGCACGACGCAGCAACCCATTTTCCATTTTCAGATCTGTGCACTCCTGGCTCAGCCTGTTCATCTCAGCCTCAAGATAGTCAGAAATTGATCCTCATCAACAATTTCGACGAGTGCCTCTAATGCAGTAACCTTTTCCCTCAGTTCTGCGTTGCCACCAGCCATTCTTCATCCAACCTAGCTCTGATACCAATTGTCACAGGGGTGATTTGTGTCACTCGAACTCAACCCGAGGTTCACCTCCGTGTGGCAGTCAAGTCCAGCCTTGACTTCAGCCTTTCCAACACTTAGTTTTATTGTTAGGGACGTTTGCACTTAGAAAGAAAATAGACAGCAAAAATAGTAGATAAAGGCACACACGATATACAGGAATTTCTTCCCAACTTGTATTAATAAGTGAATACAAGAACACAATAGCCAACCCTATGGCCAAGACAAAGAATTCCCTAATTCCCTGCCCCAAAATGGTTTTCCCACCCTTAGGAAATGACTTAGACGAATTTTGGCTACACAATGCCTTAGACTAAGTTCTCTGCCCCGTTTTGGACAGCCTAGGCAAGTATTTATAAGGCTACAATCAGTTGACAAGCCCCAACTGATGGGCAAACAAGTTAAGACAAAGTACAAAAACGTGGGCACACTTTTTAGGCCATGACCAGCATGTCTTGGAAGAGGTTGCAATTGCCAACTGCTAAAGCACATGTTTTCCAACTGCTGCTTGTGCACAACATGTGTCTGATTTTCGCCCAACTGCTTTGTGCCAAGGCTGGCATTGCGCCCAACCTTGCCTTTGACACTGCTCCGCGCCAATGTCATTGCCACAACTCGCTGCCCGCTGACTTAGCCGCACACATTCATTGTCACAGCTGCCCGCCCATGTCAAGTCGCCCCCGACTTGATCAAATCTGTCCGTATCATTTGCCATTGCTTGTCCCGCCTTGCCTTGCCATGTCTTTGCCCCTGCTTGACATGGCTTTGCCTTGCCATTGTTTTGCCAACCCGCACATCTAAGTAAGATGCGCCTTGCTTCCGTTCAAGGTACGTTTGTCGAACCTCGCATTGTCCGTCATGCCGAGCAGCCCATCATGATGTTGCCCAATTTTTCAGGTTGTGTGCCAAAGCCATCATGAAAATCCTTATCACAACTCGCACCTACCGAGGACCTTTGTCAAGGGGCTAATAGGTATCCAAATAACTCTTTTTGTCAAAGGTTTAGATTTTTGGATGAATCACTTAGGATTTTCTGCCTCTGTTGGAACCAGAACCCTGGTCTCTCATAGTTATTTATGACTTCAGACTCTCCGTTGCAACTTCTTTTTACTTTTTTAAATTTGATCTTTTTCTTGCCAGCTACAGAACTCGGAAAGGCAAATATGGAGCAGAAGGCGAAGACTAACCGTTGGGTAAGTCAGAACCACATAGCCAAAGCCTACCTGTGAAGGTCACTAAAAAGAGAGTATCAAAAAGCTAGAAGCATTTGATGTGGGAGTCAACCTGAGAGGAGGTATTAAACCCTTAATTGTAGATTTATACAACCCAAAGACGCACAAAATGACAAGTCAATATAATGTTGCAGTTTCTGTCGACCAGCCGCTCTTAATTAATATTTTGCTTCAGCGACTTGACTTACGTAGTCAGTAGTCACAAGTCAACATATACATATCCTTAAGTATCATAGGATTTGAATGTTTTGACCCTTATCCTCCTTTATTCCTACCACTACCTAGCCTGCAAGTAGGAAAATTGGGATTGCACCTGTTATGATCTATATAAACTCGGAAAGGTTAAAACATCTTCTACAATATCTACGGAGATTCTGAAGGAAACAAATGGTATCCATTGATCATTTTGATCTTAGGCACACTATCTTAGTGTTAGTAAACATTCTCAAATCTGGAATCGGACCTCCCTGGCAATGGGATCCGTTCAACGTTGTAGCAGTTTCTCACCAGTTTACTTTAATGGAAGCTAGCATTCTTCTCTTCACGTTCACCATCTTCTCCTTCACCTCCATAAAAATTCACCCCAGAAGCGAGCAGTGGCAAATATGTATAAGAGTTGGAGATTTCTCCACAAGTCTTACTCTATTATTGCTGGTCTGTCTGGTAGTACCAAAATATATATTTTGGTATGCATATCCCATGATCATATTGATTTCCATGAATTATACTTGGCTTGCCAAGACTTTCAATACTTTCCTGGATTGGCTACAAGGAATGTCTCCCTCAATGCCTGTTTTCAATATTTTCGTCGTAACAACACTTGCCACTGCCGGTCTGAACCATGAAGATCAGCAACCTAGTTCAGGGCATGAAGCAGTTTAACAGATGGAACATCGGATCTATTTGTACATTTTTGCAAAATCCAAATTATGAGTTTATCACCACACTTTGATCAAGTGTTTTTTTTTGTGGTTATTATTACCTTACCTTGACAACCTTTATTTCTATGTTCTAACAAAGTCATCCAATTTAAGTGTTTGAAGTTGCGGAGATCTACTTCTAAATTTGTGGTCGTTGCTCAGAGAAGGCCATTAAAGTGTTTACAAGATCTAAAGTAAATTTTGTAAGAGCAAATGAAGTTTCTATGTATAGTACTTGGCTTTACAAATACTCTTTCAGCCACCAAAAATATGAATATTTCTATATTTTAATTTAACTCAACCATAATTAATTTTTCGGAGAGAACCATAGATTGTGATGAAGTGATAAATATCTTTCCATCTTAATCGAAGTCTTAGATTCGACCCAGGGATATAAAATTGCCTTTGAATTGGCAGCACTTTACTAATAAAGTGAAATTTTAAATTCGAAATAGTTGGATCCCAATGCGATTCTGAACGCAGAATAGAGAACCAAAAATAATAAGAGATCTTTACACAAATATATATATATATATATATATGGTTACTTTTAATTTTAGTAGTTGGGTGAGTAATTATTTAGATTAATTCTTCAAAATAATATTTCCAGTGAGAGACTTTAGCCTCGAACGGCAAATAGAAAAGAATTATTGGGGAGACAGCATATGGTATTAAATTCATCTCAGCCTTTTTCAAACTAGCCGTTAGAAGGAGGTGGAGCACAAGACCGCTCTTCTTGTCTCTCTCTTTACCCCCATTATACCTCTCTCTCTCTCAGCTTTCTTTCCTTTTTTCCTCCTCAAATTCCCCCTTCTTCTTATTCCTTCACAATCCTTTAAGTTCTCTAAAAATCATTTGGTTTTTTTGTAGAAACCAACAAACAGAAATGTTCACAGAAGGTTTGGACGAGTCTGCAATTAACTGGATCAAACAGGTAAGCCAAATTACTGGTACAATTGAAAAAAAAAGTGTGCGACTTTGTATATATCCACTCTTTTTTACATCTGGGTTCTTGTTAATTTTGTTTCCTAATTGATTCTTGGTATGGTAAATTTTGGGTTGCAGGGGACTGAAGTAAAACAATCATGTAATCCAAGATCGCCATTATCTGAAAACTTTGATGATAGATACTCAATTCCCAGATCTCCGTTAGCCACTTACACCCCAAATTCACATATATTACCACCCTTGAAATTTCATTCGGGTCTTCTAAAACCCCATAACACAGTGAAAACACTTAGTATAGACAGCAATGAAGATGATTATGATTACGACTTTGATGATGAGAGTGAGAGTGTGACTTCAGCTTCAGATGAAATCGATGGCCATTACTCTGAACAAGAAACATTGAGTACAAACGGATGTGAAGTTAAAGGAGTTGGATTAAACAATCGACATGGCTCCACGCTGAATAGAGGAATTTTACAAGAGAATCTTAGAGTTGAAGTACCAGAAAATGGTATTAGGAGATTTAGTGAGCTGGAGTTTATGGGAAGTGCACAGAAAGCTACACTTTTGAGTAGTGTTCCTAGCTATCTGCGTGATAAAGTTCAACCACATAGTGCATATGTAAGTTCCAACATTACTGTTCATTCACATTGTCAACCTCGACTAGTTTGCTATATTATCTACTACTATCTGATAGTATATATTAATTTTACTTTTCCTTATACTTTGAGGCCATCTATTGTACCTTTGCGATTAGCAAAGAGTTTGGTATTTGCCCTTTCATTTAAGTGGCTCTAGCATAGACTGCTCCGGTTTCCTAGTATCTTGTCATTGTTACTGCATATTGCTATTGCTTTTTCCATCTATTTTTCTGGTCCTTAGGTTGCTGGTATTATCTTTCTAACCTTTGTTGTTGTTACTGTTCTATTGTTTTTTTTTCATCTTCTTGAGCCAAGGGTCTCTCTACCCCAAAGTAAGGGTAATGTCTACGTACATACTACCCTCCCAGACCTCCACTTATCAGATTATACTGAGTTGTTGTTGTTGTTGGCTCTAGCATGGAGTGTGGGTAGATTATTCGTCTTAAAGAACTTCGGGTAAAAGGTTCAAATTACCCACTTATTTTTTTTATTGTGGTTTAAAATTAGCTTCCCTTATGCTTTAGTTTGGAGGAATGTTAGGGTCAAAGGCAAATATGAGACAACTTGTTAATGGATATTGTATGATGGAGGGTAAAATTAAGATATTTAGGTAGCATAGAAAGGAGTATCATTAATTTATGGGAAAAGGTTCAATTATCTACTATCTGAAATATTTTAATTTTACTATTCCTTATACTTTGAGGCCATCTATTGTACCTTTGCGATTAGCAAAGAGTTTGGTATTTGCCCTTTCTTTTAAGTGGCTCTAGTATGTACTGCTCCGGTTTCCTAGTATCTTGCCATTGTTACTTGATATTGCTATTGCTTTTTCCATTTATTTTTCTAGTCCTTAGGTTGCTGGTACTATCTTTCTGACCTTTGTTGTTGTTATTGTTCTAATTATTTCTTTTCATCTTCTTGAGCCAAGGGTCTTTCAGAAACAGCCCCTCTACCCCCAGGGTAAGGGTAAGGCCTGCGTACACACTACCAGTGGCGAAGCCACATGTTCACATCGTCGAAAAATTGCATTGTGTATATATGTAAAATATTACGTTTTAGAGGTATATAACACATATTGAACACCCTTTGTAGGAGATTTTTTTCACTTCTTTTAAATTTGAATACCGTTGGAAAAATTCCTAGCTTCGCCACTGCACACTACCCTCCTTCAGACCCCACTTGTGGGATTATACTAGGTGGTTGTTGTTGTTGTTGTTGTTGGCGGCTCTGTGGACTGTGGGTAGATTCCACGTCTTAAAAAACTTTGGGTAAAAGGTTTAAGTTTCCCACTTATATTTTATTGTGGTTTAAAATTACCTTTTGTTATACTTTAGTTTGGAGGTATGTTAAGGTCAAAGGCAAATGTGAGACAACTTTCTAACGGATATAGTATGACGGAGGGTAAAATTAAGATATTTAGGTATCATAGAAGGGGGTAACTTTTAGCCTTTTCCCTTCATTGATTGATTGATTATATGATCGAAGTTGAGTTTTTCTTGATAAGAGGTTAACTATATGTAATGCAGGCAACACCTGTTGGTAGGCTAAATGACTTAGGAACCCCAAGTGCACCACCCATATTGGATATTGGAGCAGATGAAGATAACTCTGAACAGGAATGTGGAAGTGGATTGAGCACTTCTGGAGGGTTGTCTGGAACTGAGCACAATAAGAAAAATATTCCAGAAGAGGCTTGTCATAGAAATGAACAAGTTCTTTCAGAGACTGAAAGCCGAGGGTATGAAAAAGTGAAATGACATTCAGCATGAAACATTTTTGCAGATGTCTTTCATTTCCATGACAGCTTCATTTTGGTACAGGGAAGATAAATCAACTTTTGTGGAAACAAACACTGTGCCCTCGTTCCAGCAAGGAAATTCTGTGGGATTTCCAAGCCGTTATGATACCAGGTTTTTCTTTTTTACTTAAATTATCTTGCTGCCTCAAAAGCTTAGGGTTAAAAAAAGATGTGTACTTCTTCTAAGTCTTATTTATTAGATTGCAACTACTGAGCATTTCTTTGACAACATCAGTCAAAATGGATGGCAAGTTCTCTTGGCTTATGATGCCTGCATTCGTCTATGCCTAAATGCTTGGGCAAGAGGATGTGTTGAAGCACCGGAATTTTTACGCGATGAATGCCAGCTGCTTCGAGGTGCTTTCTGGTATGCTAGCTTATATTTTCTCTTATTGAATCACTTAAAAGCAGCTTTAAAGGCCACAACACTTTTTCCATGACTAATACCATTCGCTAACTATCTTATTCAACTTCGCAGCTTGCAGAAACTGTTGCTCCAACCTCGAGGCATGCAGACAACAGAAAGGATCAATAAGACAAATGGACAAACATTACCCTTGAAAGTGAGAAAATTAGTGGGGAAGGTTCGTGTGGAAGGTATAACTCAAGAACGCTTGTTTATGCTTAACTTTTGAGGTAATAGGTAGTGCAGCTCTTTGGTTTTTATTTGTATGTGTGTGTCCGAGCCTCGGAGGTAAGGTAGGTAATTTATAGTTCAGAGCTAGTTATTTTTTCTTTTGTGAAGACAGATTTGAATATAAGTTATGGTTTAATCCTGCAATTTCTATGAAATCTTGTTCCCTTCTAGACACATCACTTTCTGGTTAAAGTTTAATAGTTGACTTATCTTTCGACTAAGATGTGTTAGAATGGGTAGTTCATTAAATAAATAGCTGTGAATCATATTTGATTAATAAGTTATGGTTTCATCTACTAATCTTTCGCCTAAGATGTGTTAGAATGTAGCCTTTTAGATGTTCCAGACGAAGAAAATGAAATAAAATTTGTGACACTATATTGCAAGTAGATATCTTATTCTGTAATGTAATGTGTATCTTTTACTTGCATAGTATATAATGCTTGACATCATTTCAAAACCAATTGCAGTAAGAAAGTTAAGAATCATACCAAAGAGGAAGCTTAAGAGCGCAAACTCAATGCGAGGTGCAATTAGCATGCAGGCCGGAGCGGAATATGTACGGCATGTTTCTTCACTGGTGAAAAATGGAATCAATTCTCTTAAAATTCATTCATCTCTGCTGACATCCGAAGGTTAGTACTTCTTATTGAATGATCTTTTCTCTTCAATTGGATCACGGAAACAAGTACTCCCTCCGTTTCAATTTAGATGAGGTAGTTTGACTCGATACGGAGTTTAAGAAAAAATAGAAGACTTTTGAAACTTGAGGTCTTAAAAGCTTAAGGGTAAAAAAAGCTTTGTGGGGTCATGACATTTGTGTGGTTATAAAAGCTTCTCATTAAGGGTAAAATAAAGAGTTTAAAGTTGAATTATTTTCAATTGCAGAAATGTGTCATTCTTTTTGGAACGGACTAATAAGGAAAGTGTGTCATCTAACTTGAAACAGAGGGAGTACCAAAAATGCCTGTGGAGTTCAAAAAACATAGTCTTCTAAAAGGTTTACATAATTCAACACGAACGGCTTGCTTGATTCTCTTAGAATGATTATTCTAGATGATAAAATAGCAACCTGATTGACGTTTTTTTCTTTTCTTATTTCCTGATAAAGCATTGATGGTGATGGTCTTCTCTAGGTGAAGACAATATCGTGATTGAAGGGTGCTAAAAGGGCCAATGTAGACCTAAAATCATATGAAGAGAAGTGTATCAAAAGAACTACTACCTCTCGCAATTAAGGCAACATTCTTAATAAAATGGAAGCAACGAACCATATAGGCGATGCCAACTAGTTGTTATATCTGTATTAGATTGTATTATTAAGGAGGTTTTCTAATGTGGTTACGGATTTGTGTGAGACTTGGGAACACTCTATTTTTAAAGAACTCCTAATTTGTTCTAAAAGACAAAAGATATTGGAATGAGATGGCCCGATTCATCCAACCGATCCAACCTAGTTTGGTATTGAGGCCTAGTTGATTCCTTAACTAATAACACATTGATGGTCTATATTGGTTCTTATTTACGTGTTAAGAATTCATGCACGCTCTGGAAATAAGTAGATTTCTGGAACTATCAAAATCAAACAAAAACCATGTAGAGTTTTTAGGATCCTCGTACATAAATAACATAGTTGTTTTCCACTATGTTGTCTGCAGAATCCCTGAGATGCTTAGTTCTCCTGAAGAGTTCAATGGAAGATACTAAATTTGAACCAAATTCTGCTGTTATGCTGCAGCCTGGAAGTGGTGATCACCATGACTTGTAAGTTGTTTTTTTCACTTCATACTGGTTCTATATTGCTTATAATCCAGTTGAATAATCCAGTGAACTGTATCCTGAATATTGTTAGGATTAGAAGACTTCCAGTTGTGTGGTTATCTTACAATAAGCTTTATGAGAGACTTAGGGAACTTCTTTTTGTTACGTTCACTTCTTTTCTCTGATTAGAATTTGCAAGATGAGGAAAAGAACAGTTATGTCAAGATTCCAATTGTATGGTCACCTTTATAAGTAGTTTAGAAATATGATCGTTATATTTAGATTTTTGTGACACTATGCCCCGATGCTCGCATTCTCATATGTAAGATAGTCCTGTACTTCAGTTTCTATTTGATATCGGACAATTATGCTCAGATGTTAATTTCTCCAGACAAGATAACATATTTCTGAATACAGTTTCCCAGAGAACCAAGGAGATGCTCTTTTGCTTGAAGTACAGGATATGAAGAGAAGTACTTTGGGTCGAACTTCAATACCGATCTCAGCCGTGACTGACAGCAGTGTATGTCAAAACCTCCAATAGGTCATATTGTTACGACTATTTTATTCAGCTTTCAAATTCTTATTATACCACCTTCTTACATCAGTTTCGTAACTGTTCCAGAATGATAAGATTCGCTGGTGGCCGATTTATCATGATGATAATGAATGTGTTGGGAAGGTCCAGCTATCAATCAATTGTACATTGACAACTGATGAGACAACACAAGTCAAGGTTTTTAACAAGGACACTCCACCATATTTAACTTCTGTCCCGTGGAATCTGAATGTTTTTGTCGTAATATACGTTAAATAGGAGAAGGAAGTAATATGAGTAGGTAACATCATAATTTTTCATCTGAAGTCAGAAGAGTAACATTTAAATTTGAATCTGCTAAAAGTATGATTCTAAGCTTATTCATTATCTTTCCCTTAAGGTGGTGGTTGTTAATTCAGTTTGCTAAGTGTAACATCATCTCCTATCTCTGTTTTTGATATTTATACATATTTTCTAGCTAGCACATAATGTTCGACATAAAAGATATTTATATATCTTTTTCTTTCTCGATTCTTTTATGAAACAAAAGAAAAGAAGAAAACAACTACAGACTGGAGACTTAACCTTAAGCCATTTAACTCGAGGTCTTTATCCTTTGGCCCTTTTTGACTTGAGGTCTCAAACATTATTTGTCAGTTATTATTAAGATCTACATACTCAAAACTGCTGCTGGTGTATGGTGTCTTAGCTCATTTTATAGGTGCAGGAGTTAATAATAATTTGTGACATGCGTTCGATTCCCATTTATGACAGAGTGGACCTATTGCGGAGACTCTTGCATATGATCTATTACTGGAGGCTTCCATGCATGCTCAACAATTCAGTGCACGAAGTTTAAGGTCTGAGGGACCTTGGAACTGGTTACTGACAGAATTTTCTCTGTACTATGGGGTCTCACATACCTATACTAAATTAAGGTATGCTTGTGATATATGCAAATGTTATATCCTTTAATGTCTCTTTAAGAAAGCTGAATAAGTAGAGTTCAATAGGTACCTTTCATATGTCATGGATGTTGCCACTCCAACGAAAGATTGTTTAGAGCTCATTCATGAGTTGCTTGTGCCAGTGATGAAGGCAAGGAACGACAAAAGTTTAACAAGACAAGAGGTATCAGACTCTGAACTCTCAAACCTTCGATGATGATGTGATTCTGGAGATTTAGACATTTTACAGAATTATTTCTTAAAATCCAATTCTACAGCAATGCTAATCTAGTTTTCCCGTAAATGCAAGAGTTCTCAAACCTTCGTAAATTAATTGCAGCATCCTTTGTCTTTCAAATATGTTACTCTCTTCTACCATTTTATTTGACCTGCTTTACATTTTCTTTGAACATTGAAATTTGACCTGCTTTCCATTTTCTAGTGAGATGTCATAGATAAATGGTATCATAGAACAATGGCGCGACCTTATTAGTTTCTTATTTCAGAGAGAGAAAAAATATATTTAAAGAGGAGGTAAAAGTATTTTCAGAAACTAAAGCGAAGGCATATGTTACCATTTACAAGTGGTCTATCTAATTGATCCTCTACCCTTTGCTATTTAAATACTGGCTTATCTTTTTGAATTGTTAAAATCATTGTAACTGGACATGCTAGTTTCAGTAAGCCGGCAAAAACTTCACCTGAGCTGAGAACGCAAACTTACAATTTTTCTTGTTTCAGAAAAGTTTGCTTCTGGATTGCGAAACAGAAGTTGGAAGTCTCTTGGCCACGGTGTTTGAAAACTACAAGTCCTTGGATGAAAACTGTCCCACAGGTTTAGCAGACATTTCAGCTCCTGTAGCAGAAACTGCAGCACCAGCACTTGCTCCTGCCGTTCAAGTTTACACTCTTCTCCATGACATACTTGCTCAAGATGCTCAGATGACACTTAGAAACTATATACAGGTAAATGAGTAGAGCATTCGGTTGTCTGGTTTTGCTTACACTTTTTGATGTCTCATCATATAAGTCTAATGAAAATATGATTTAACAGATAGCAGCAGCAAAGAGGTGCCGAAAACACATGGTCGAAACTGATGAATTCCTGTCAACAAACTTAGATGGCTTTGTCATGGATTCAGTAACAATAACCACTGCTTATTCGAAGATGAAGAACCTTTGCTCCCGAATATCAAATGAAATCCAGGCAGATATTAAGATCCACAATCAACATATACTTCCAAGGTATGATGCAACTAAAAGTAAGATGCAATTTGATATCAATCTGTTGGTGCATATCCATGATTATATTGTCATGCGTTTCAATGAAATTCATGTCAAGATAGGCTTAAAAATGCCAACAATTACTGCTCCAAGTTCTCGTATTATGCTGGCTGTTGCAGTTGTGCAACTTAAACTGCCAATAAAACTTCAGATTGTCTTACAGTGGGAACATTCATTTTTCAGTTCAATTGACCTTACAACCATCACGGCTTCAGTTTACAGCACTGAACTGTGTAAGAGGCTCAAGAACTTTCTCGCTGCATGGCCTCCATCAAGTCCTTCTCTACATGTGAATGAACTTTTGATTGCAGCAGCTGATTTTGAGAGGAATCTAGACACATGGAACATCAGGTTATATTGAACGCAATTAAATTTGTATCGAAGCAAAGAAATTGTTATGCTTTCTTAGACAAGTCATTTAACCTTTTCTCCCATGATTCAGTCGAGTGCAAGGTGGTGTAGACTCGAGAGGTCTCTTTCATAGTTATATAATGGTATGGATAGAGGATTTGCAACTTCACTTACTTGAGCTTTGCAAGGCAGAAAAGGTAACTCAGCTCTTAATCTTCACTTGAAATAACCCCTTTTGTTTTGTTATTGTGCAAGAGAGGCTTAAAATTTTTCCATATTCTAACTATCACCTCTTTCAGGTGTTATGGTCTGGTGTTATTACGAACTATTCTACTTCTCCTTTTGCCGAAGAAATGTTTGAGAAAACCAAACAAATGTTAACTGAGTATGAAGTAGTAATCAACCGTTGGCCTCAGTACACTGTCATTTTGGAGAATGTAAGCTCTATTTTCGTATTCATGGAAACATATAGACAGATGCTTGATGCTGTTTCATGGCTGTGCAAATGTATAAATAAATGAGAACCCCTTCCATTTGCTGATTAACGCTTTCTGTTGATATCACAGGCTGTTGCTAATGTAGAAAGAGCAATTATAAAAGCCATAGAGAAACAGTACAATGATATCTTGACCCCACTGAAGGATAGCATTCCAAAGAAGCTCGGCATGCAAGTTCAGAAATTAGCAAGAAGGCAATCAACTACTCTCTATAGCATTCCTAATCAGGTAACTGCTAGTAATAGATGGACAGGTTATAACAATTAGTGTTGTAACAGAGAGACGCATAAGCTGCTAATACACACAAATGCAGAGGAAGCATAACTAACTAAATATGCTGGGGCCTTGTTTTGACAGTTGGGCACTTTCTTGAACACAATCAAGAGAATTCTAGACGTTCTACACTGTCAACTAGAAGACATTTTGAAGTCATGGGCATCCTATCTACCAGCGAATGGAGAGAAGAAGTCCAATTTCGGGGAGCAACTGAATGGAGTTACGGTATTACTGAGGACTAAATACAAAAACTACATGCAAGCAATAATAATCAAGCTTGCTAGTAATGTAAGCAACTACTATCTCATAATTAGCTATTTATCAGTGAGAGTAAATCTTGTGATGTGTTTACTCCATGTGTTTTACTGTCTATCATATCACACTATTGACTGGAATATAAATGCATGAAATGAGGTGGTTAAACTTTCTCTCTAATTTTGCTGCTTCAGATGCAAGCAAATCGTTGCACACGTTTGCAAAGGATTTTGGAGGAAACGAAGGAAGCAGATGGGGAGGCTGAAATCCGTGAAAGAATGCAACTGTTGAATTCACAACTCTCAGATTCCTTAAGCAACTTGAAAGAAGTCTTTACAAGTGTAATATTTGTTGCAATCTGCCGTGGATTTTGGGACAAAATGGGACAGGTTGGTTTATCTAGTGACCATCTCAAATTTGAGCTGTTCGACTACAATGATTAATTTTAACTTTTTTCTTTTTACCCTTGAGTTAATGGCATTTTGTTCTTTTCTTATACTAGATCATACTGAAATTCTTAGAAGGAAGAAAAGAGAACCGAGTATGGTATAGTGGTTCTTACCATGCTCTTGGGGTAAGTGGAGCTAAATTTCAGTATATATAATGTAGTACATATTTATGCAAATGGTTCTTGAAATATTTGCATGGTATGATTTATAGATTCTGGATGACATATTTGCTTCCCAAATGCAAAGATTGCAAGGAAATGCTCTACAAGAGAAGGATATTGAGCCCCCTCGTTCAATTGTTGAAGCTCGAGCTATACTCTGTAGAGACACCAGTAACTATCCAGATTCCTCCAACTACTTGTATTTCTAGGAATACAACTGAGTTGGTCATTCATATGCTCTTCCTATACTTGTATTTGTGTATTACTATTTCTTCCTGTTCATATATTCTTTTGTATGTAAAATATCCAATTCTTTGTAAGTTGTCAATCAATAAGAGTAAGGCCATCCTCGAAGACTTTTACCTAATTATACTATATTAGAAACTTATTTACCAATGTTCTTTATGTTTTGTAGTTTTTAATAAGCATCTAGGTTTTTCTTACAAATTGTGTAGATTGCTCCTTAAAAGGCTCCCACCCCATTATNCCCTCCTCTTTTTTTTTATAACAAAATTCCTTAATCTACACCCAGAATCTCCATCTTCTCTCTTCCCACCATTGTCGACAATTTTATATTATTAAATCATCAATTAATCGTTCTTTTGCTGGGAGGCCGGACAACATTTAAAATGAAGAAATATTCAGGAATTGTATGATAAATGTATCATAATTGTACTTAAATTGTACTTTTTTTTATAACAAAATTCCTTAATCTACGCCCAGAATCTCCATCTTCTCTCTTCCCACCATTGTCAACAATTTTATATTATTAAATCATCAATTGCATCGTTCTTTTGCTGGGAGAGCGAACAACATTTAAAATGAAGAAATATTCAGGAATTGTATGATAAATGTATCATAATTGTACTTAAATTGTATCATAATTGTACTTTTTTTTTATAACAAAATTCCTTAATCTACGCCCAGAATCTCCATCCTCTCTCTTCCCACCATTGTCGACAATTTTATATTATTAAATCATCAATTGCATCGTTCTTTTGCTGGGAGACCGGGCAACATTTAAAATGAAGAAATATTCAGGAATTGTGTGATAAATGTATCATAATTGTACTTAAATTGTATCAGATATATCAATACGTAAAACGTAATTGTATCATACTTGTATCACAATTGTATATAACTTGTAGATGGTACATTAATATCCAAAATAATACATGATACAATACTAATAAATTAATATATAATTATCATATATTTATGATACAAACTGTGAAATTCGTCACGATCTCACAACTGCTCATAATTCAAATACAAATTTGATACAATCGTGAAAGAATTCTTAAACAATTATGATACAACTTAAAACCGACTCTAAACTTAAACTGATACAATATCGTATTATACTTGTATTAGTATTGTATCATGTATTTTTTTAGGTACAAATTGTGATACAATTCTAAATTATGATACAACTTTGATCTTAATCTTTTTCAAGTTCAATTTAAACATCCACCTAGAATCAACTCTAAACTTAAATTATAATACAATATTGTATTTTAATAGTATTAGTATTGTATTAGAATTGTCTTAGGTATTGATGTATCAAATACAACTCAGATACAATTATGATACATTTATCACCCAATCGTAATACAATTCTGAAACTTCATCTTCCTCGAGTTTCATTATGAAATTCAACCTAAAACCAACTTTAATATAGAGTGAAGCTTACCCACAACTTGATTGTAGAGCAAATCTTCGAATTTCTTCTGTATTGTATAAATAAGAAAGAGATTTGGACGATTAAATAGAGAAATCGTATATCAACAGCTTTGGAAAAGGAAAGAATTTGCAATTTTGGGGGATAACAGTGGAAGAGGAGTGAGTAAGCGTTATTTTTGGGTTACTTACCGTGGGTAAGTACAACAAGAGATGATGATTTGGGGTTCTGTGGGTTTCTTACGGTGATGATTTTGGGTATGTACAAAGATTCCAAAAAAATACTTGTCTCATCAAAATTCCAGTTATTTTGAGTCATAAACTCATCCAGATGTTTTGGTGTGCAATGCTGGANATATATATATATATATACCAAGTGAGAAAGAATCTTTGATTGCCTGTTGTATATTCTTCATGTTTAGTTTGGGTAATTTTCTAATATGGGATCTTAGTCAGCGTTGAGCAACAACTCAAGTTTTAGAAACCTATTTCTTTTAGCAAGTATAAATAGAGTGCTTGAATAACTACGATTTAATGCAGAAAATAATTACCTTTCTGGTGTCTGCCATGAGTTTAGACAGTAACAACTTGTTTGGATACTTGTTGTGTATCGTTTCATAATGTATCGTGTAGTATGTATTGTATTGTACTGTATCGTTTTTGATGTATGCAATGTTTGGATAGATTGTATTGTTTCCGGTCGTTTCATGACGTTATGCACCAACAATATGAAGAATAAACTTACAAATATTATAAAGGAAAAGTAAGGTAAGAGGTAATATATTATTATATAAAATAGTAGGGTGGAGAATAAAATAAGATTTTTAATAATAAAAAAGGGCAAGATGAGAGAAAAAAAATAAGAAAACGACGCGACCACACTAAATCGGGTGTTCCATAAAGTGGTACTTTTAATGTAACGATGGATTTAATGATATGATACAATAATATTTTAATAACAATCAAAACAAACATTGTATTTGAAGTAACAATCTATAATAATAATAATAATAATAATATATTAAAAGCACGAAGGCCCTTAGCGAAATGTCGTTCGCCTTTTTTACCCTTTAAAAATAAATTTCACATTGGACAAAATAGTAATTCAAATTATTTTTCTAATATTTAGGACTTAGTTTCCGATTTAAATTATGAATGAAGTCCTAATATTTAGGAGTTCAAAATCAATTAAGATTTTACCTTATTTAAATTATTTATATAACTGTAATCATTCCATATTAAATTCTTAATATATAGGATTTTAACATCACCTAAAATTCTATTAATTAAACGCTTTAATAAACTCACCCAATATATGCACGTTCAATTGGTAAGAAATATAGGGGAACATGGAAACTATCTGGGCTAATTTATTTTTTGTGTTACTTTAAAACTAATTTAAATTTAAATTACCTTATATGAATTATTTCTTTATATTAGTATCCTTGACATAATTGTCATTTTTTCTTGTTACAGTTCAATATTTAAAATCTGGGATGTGCTAATATTAAGAACTTTAATCAACAAAATCTAATGAGTTACTATTATAATAAAAATAATAATTAAATCTATGAATTAATTATTAGACAAAAATAATATAATCCAACAATTTTTAAATATATTAAAAATATGAATGCCCTTACTGAAATGTAGTTCGTCTTTTTTAACTTTCAAAAATAAGTTTTACATTTGACAAATATGTAATTTAAGTTACTTTCCTAATAGTTAGGACTTTAAAATCAAGCAAAATGTTAAATATTACCTAATATTTTGAAGTTCGAAACCAACTAAATAAGGATAAAATTATATTAAGAAAAAGAAGAGAATATAAAAAAGTAAAGTTTCTTTTCAACCAAGGACAAAAAATATTGTATAATTTTCATATAAATATTTTGTACCTATATCGTACAAGGAAAATTTAGCGTGCAAGATCAATTGTGATCCTTTATTTTCCTTTTCATACGAAAATATTTTCTTGGTTGTTTAAATTATATTTTATTAAATTATTTCACAACTATAATTATTTTATGGCTTAATTTTCCTAATATTTACTTATTTAAGATTTTAAAAGCAATTTTATTTATCGAATATATATTATTTGAATCATTTCAGAAGTTTTAATGTATAAAATTTAGAAACAATTAAAATTTAACCACCTTTTACAAATGATTTCCTTAAGAAAATACTTAAATTATTTTGATATAAATTGCTATTTTTCAGTAACTTTTTCTTCTTATATATAAATATATTTATTGATTGAAGCAACATACACGTGCAACACACGTATACTAAAACTAGTTATTATAAAAGCACGAATGTTTTACGCTAAATGTGAACGACAAAAATATCCCTAAAATATTAGTTGCCTGTTATGCCCTTCAATAATTAAATTATGTCTTAAACGTTTATGCCTAAAAATGTAAAAGCAATTCAAATATTGCAGAGTCCCGGTCAACATGACATTCTTAGAGTCAAATTTGTAAAGGAAACTTATTCGTTCATTTGTTATTTGAATGGAAATCAAATTCTATAATTATTATCTATAGTTCTATACTATAAATATTATAAAATAGAAAAGTTTAATTGTGGAACCAAAACAAATCAAATATTAGACAATTTTTCAATCCTCTGTAGAACCGAGTCTAAAAATCACCACAAATATTAGTGTTTACGCCTCAGGTCATTAAAGTTAATTCTCTTTTTTGTCTTCAGCAAATTATGCACTACTTGAATCTTGATTAAACTGTATGTGGTCTAACATGCCTTTAACTTTTTATTTTTCATCCTTTAAATCTTTCTGGAATAAAGTAATCCGAATAAATACTTTAAATATTTTCTTCTTTTTTCTGGTATGTTCATATTGAATGTGTGTCTGCGTCGGTCACGATTAGATTTTGCCATTTTGGAGACATGGATTTTTTGGTGAAATTTCTGAGTTCTAAATATATTAGATGTTTTACTATTTTATAGTTAAATGCCAATTTTTTATTTTTCTGTTTCGTGTTAAAAGATTAGACGAAAGTGTTTAGTTTAGATCACCCAGAGAGAAATAGCAGTTATGGTAACTTCAAGCGTGGAGATGCAATTAGCAGACTCTAAAAAAGTTTTAATTCAATTAGGATGCATTACAGATTTTGATTTATAAAAATTGCCTCGTGTGCTACTTCGTCTTCTCGAGATAGTTTCAAAATAGTAATTTTTAATGCAACACTTCAAGGCGTACTTTAGTAAGTTTGCAGTTCAGGGTGGTAGGCCCAGCCCCAATGTTACGCCCTTCCAGCTAGGCCCGAGGCTGAGGCTTCAGATGCAGTCATTATAGGTACCATTCTGGTTTGTGATAGAGATGCTTCAGTGCTATTTGATCCAGGGTCTACGTATTCGTATGTGTCATCTTATCTTGCACCGTACCTGGTCGTGCCTAGTGATTCATTAAGTATTCCTGTTTATGTGTCTACACCGGTGGGTGATTCTATTGTGGTCGATCGGGTTCATCGTTCTTGTATTGTGGTGATTGGGGGTCTTGAGACTCATGTTGATTTGTTGCTTTTAGATATGGTCGACTTTGATGTTATATTGGGGATGGACTGGTTATCACCTTACCACGCTATCTTGGTTTGTCATGCCAAGACTGTGACCTTAGCCTTACTGGATTTGCCCTATTTAGAGTGGAGAGGGACTCCTGGTCAT